ATCAGCTCTGAATTGTAACATACAAAACTCAATAAAACAAAGATATTATTTAATTTCAAATGCTTTTATTTGCTTTTAGTTGTTTTTATGAATATGGACAATATTTTCTGAAAGCAAAAAAATTTTTCGATGAAAAATGAATTTTTAATACAATTATTTGTTATTTCATTAATTATAATAGATTTTACATTTAAGTTAAAATATTATAAAATTAGTTAAAAAACGCATCGGCTTTCATAAGTGTCCTTATGAGATAGATCTTTTTTTTTAGCGTTGTAAATTGTATCATTTTGACTAATCAGAAGATCCCCAGTAATTAAGAAATGTAATTTTGTGCTTATAATCGAGCTGTAATTATAAAATACGGAAGACCAACTAGAATATAATTAAGTTGCGTTATTTGAGTTAAGCATTGTTCTCCGCTGTTAAGGCCTTTACTTTTGCGAAACACGTGGAGAAGTTAATTTGATTTTTCATTTTCAACTGAGAAGGGTACCTACAAGTATCAGTATCATCTTATGAAATTTATATGATCTTATTTTTATATTAATCTCAGTTACGACATTTTTCCATAAATGAAATTTCAAAATTAATAATAAAATGAATGCAAATACAAATAACAGTAGAATTTAATAAATGTACATAAAATTATAGTATTTTATATACAAATCTGATAAAATTTCATAAGAAAGGTACCTATAAATTAATTAGATACCTTTCTTAAGAAATATGAAATTTAATGTCACTCTTAACAGTTTTATTTTAATTTCTTTACAATATATTTCCCATAAAGCATCATAAACTTAAAGGTGAAAGCTAAGTACAAAAAAAAAAAAAAATTAGACTGCTGAAAGTTTTCGTTAAAAATAACGGGGTAAATAATTTGTTCACGTAAATGTAAATTATTTCACTTTTCTCCTTCCAGTAGAACAAATTAGCCTCATGGAATTACGTAAATATATCATTCATCACATGTCAAAGAGACGCGAAAGTTTATGACCTGCTTTGTTTTATTTTCAAATTACATCTTTTTTTGGCACAAAAGCTAAGTTAAGTTTGGTTCAAAATATTTTAAATAAACATTATAATTTCTGATTTTCTTAAAATAAGTTTTGAAAAAAATGATAATTGATATTTAAAAAATTTTAAATCAGATTTCCAGTTTTTTTTAAAATGGAAAAAAAAACTAGATTTTTAACGAAAATTTCGGACGTGCTAGGAATGATTAAAAAATGGAAAAAAATACCCCCAAAATACTTTGACCATTCCTCTTAATAATAACAAACATTTAGACGATAAAATTTTGTTTTCGTCAAGTTTGGTGTCTTTTTCATCATGCTATGCTCTTTTTTTAGCGATCTCGTGGAGGTACCTAGTTTAACTTTTTAGTTATTTGTGTGTTTCTATCACTGAACCAGAGTATGTGACTTTTCAGTGCTACCAGACTGAACTCACAACTACAAGGAAAACAAATGTTTTTTAACCAGGATGTGTGTCTTTTGAACAATCTAGTGGTGTAATTTTGTTGCCTGTCTGAAATCTAATGTTTGTTTTTAAATTAGATAACTAAAAAAAAATTTTTTTTTTTTTTCAGTAAAAAACACAGTTTTGGAAATTCTTGCAAAATCAAATAATTGTTAGATTTTAATTAAATTTTCAGAACTTATTTAAAATTTTGAAAATTGTGATTAAAATTTTTTTTTTTTTTTTTGCTCCCACTTAATTTTATTAAATTTTGAGAATTCCACCCTCTTCATATTTATATTAGTTAAAAGCAGGACTCTTTGGAGAATTTAAATTATCAATTTGTTTTTGTCAAGCAGAAACATCATTTATAGAAAATTTGCTTGTTATATAAAAGAAATGCAATAAAACTGTGACATTATTTAATTAGAAAAACTTTTAATTACTTTTATAAATATATTAAGGGTACTATTGTGTTAAACTTTTTTCAATGAATAATGAATTTTGACAAGAATTGCTTTCATTTTTTTTTTAAATTTTAATTGGAATAATTTAAGCTTAAATCTTTTAGAATTCTGTATTAAATCCACTTTTAGGTTTTATTAATTAAAAACTATATTTACTAATCATAAGTTCAAAAAAGCTTAGTACAAATCATCAAATACCAATATTTTTAAAAGAATTTTGAATTTTTTTGTGTTGATATGAATGATCATACATGGCATTATCAGAAAGTAAGAGCAATAACTATATTAAACTTCAAGCCAGAAAGTATCTAAATTCATTAAAACATTAGATTACAGAATATTTTCTTAAATATTTAAAATTACTGAGTACTTAAAAATTATATATAAAAGGTGCTCATGTTATATTCAATTAATTTTTATGGCTAAAGCCTCTATAGAATAACATTAGATAAACATCAATTTGTCACGAACATGTCAATAGCTTAAATAAACAGTTACTGCTGTGTTAAAAAAATGCATTTCTGTGATATTTTAAACTTAAAGTAAATATTTGTTTCAAATTAGATTATACTTTAAATCAGCTCTTCCTCAAATAAAGTTTCTGAAAAGTATATTTTATTTTTGTAAGATTTTTTAATAAATAGAATTACATTGTGATGAAAAAAGGGGTGCTAATCAGCTATTTTAGCAAAAGAAAAAAAAACTCTTTCCAGTTTATTTAAATTAGTTTTTGAAATACAGCAAAGTATTTTGCTTATTGGAAATATTAAATTTAATCTATTGGCTTGAAATTAAAACTAAAATAAATGCTTCAAGAAAGATTTTTCATTTTTATAAATTCCTTTTATTAGGTAACACATTTTTTGTGGTGGTACCTAATTTAGATTGTGGATTTTTTTTTTTTTTTGAGTCTCCCAGATGCTGTTCATATGTTTACTGAGCATACAACACAAAAGTGAATAAACTAGATAGAATTAACTGATACAAGATATCTCTTAAGTGTGGAAACTTGGATGAGAACAATCTATTCCCATGGATTGAAAAAGATTTAGTTGAAAATTCTAAGGTTACTTGAGTACATCAGACACCTGAAGAAAGCTGAATGAAATGTGAATATAGCAGTCAACTAATGTGAATATAATGATAATTCCTAATTTAAATAAAATTATGAAAAAATGCTTTTCTTTTTAAATTGGTACATAGTTGTTTTACTAAATGAACTTTATATTTAGTATTATGATTTATTTTGAATGTACTTATTTAACCATTTATTACATTTTATTAATGTTGTAATTGTATTAATACAGTTCTCCTTCTGTACAGCGATGTACCTGGTCGATGAAAAGGTTTAGTGAATAATGAAATAGATAAATATTACCTGTTCCATAATAGTTTTTGCATTTAGCATAAGAAATGTATATTCAAATGTACAATCAATGGATGCTGTAGTCTAATAAAGTCCTAAGTAATGAAATGTGTCACAAGAAAATTTTTTCCACTTTGTCATACATTTTTCCCCAATATTGTTTTTGATATATAAAAATATATATTATCTTATTCAAGTATAATAACTATTATGGGACAGTTAGTATTTTTTTTTATCTCTTTTGAAGTGTTCTTTCTGCACATGCACAATTGAACAACAATGCACATCATTGACAAACTAAACTTTCTTTGCTTTTTATGACTTTCTCAAAACTGACAACTCATCATAATTCAGCACTTACTTGCCTATGAACTTCAAATTATTCACTGAATGTTTTTATTACCTTTTATATAATGTATATATATTATTACTGCATATACGTAAAAAATAGGGGGTTGCACTATACACAGGTAATTTTTTTGAAGAGCTTAAAAATCATTCATTTTTGGTAACTGGTTGCACTATACACAGGTAAATTTATTTTCTGGAGGGGTTAAAATTCATGCAAAAAACATTCAGGTGTTGCGCTATACATGAAGTCTGCTTATATACAAGTATATAGAGTATTTAATCAGTATGTTCATCTATTACTGTCAAAAACCAGATTTATTTTTTCAAAATAGTATATCTTTAAGATCTTTAGCACTCTGTAGTTTATTGAGCAAAAAAGTTGTTCTGCCATTGCAGTTGACTCAGACTGATATGTTTGAATTTTCTGGTTGTGTTGCTATAGCAAAAAAAATAAATAAAAAAAAACAACAATGACCTGGACTGAAATTGGTAACAGGCCTACTTCAGTTGTGGGGGTTACATAAAAAAATGCAGTGGAAAGGGAAATAATACTCATGAATAATGCAGAGTGCTGAAGGTTAAAAGAAAAAAAAAATTAGTTTATTTAGGGGAGAGAATCAATGTATTTGTGTATATCTGTGCTTACCTGTAAGTCTATTTTTGAAAATCTATTTTTTAATGCATTATTCTATTCTGCTTTTATCTGCTGTTTTTTTTTTTTTTTAATAAACTCTTCACTAACATTTTAGACACCAGAATAAAGGGATTCATTGGTGATTAATTAATAATTCCTCTAATGTATTAAAAATATTTTTGTTTTTCGTTTGGTAATAATGGACAGGAACATTTTAAAATACAGGCTGTCTTTATTTTGGAGTCAGTCATTGAAGGAAAGTGTTAAAAATAGGATAAATAGCATTGGATGAAATTTCACAACCTCGAGCTACATATTTGGTTTGTATTTGTGTGTGAGAGTGTCTGGTCACTTGCTGCATTGACTTAATTATTACCCACCCACTCCTTTTTTATCACTCTTCCTCTTACTGTCCCAGTTACTAACAAGTTTCTCCTCTTTCATTTAGCACCTATCCACTTTTTCACATTTCATTTTCGATCAGTTTTTACATTTAACTTGAGAATAAAATGTTTGCATGTGTAATGTATGTTAAGTGGCTTGGTGGTTTTTTTTTTTTTCCTTTCTTTTTGCCATCTCAATATGTGCAAGGCTCACATTGTTGCTGGCAACCACCACAGCTGATCTGTTGTGTTCCTTTCTGTAGCCCTTAGTTGTGCTGTCGGGGGTCCAGATCTACTTGCTTGATACTGTACTCCAGCATTTTGTTTATTTGTAGCGGAGGTCACTCTCAGTGCGCTGAACGCCCCCGAAAGTGATGTGGATATCGAGGGTTTGGGTGAAGGAACAGCCTCTAAGAAACTAGAGTTCGACTCTGGTAGGTTTCTCACTTGTCTCCCACCGATTCATTCTTGTAGTTAGCTCCCAACCCCCGTCACTATTACAAGAAAGGGATAAAAGTAAATCATGCTTTTAATTTAAGGTATTAAAAAAAAAAAGAAAAAGAAAAAAAAAAAAAAGAAATAATAATAAAAAAAAGTATTTTCAGATGGTAAGGGAATTACTTAATTGCCAACAAATAAACTTTTTTTTTTTTAAGTAACTAATCATTTTGATGTGTTGAAATTGTATTATTTTGCCAATGTTGCCAAACTCTAACAGGGAATCAGTCACAATATAAAGTGGAACAGAATTTAGCATTTTTATTACACCAGTTAATTGCAAAACAATGATGAACACTGCTTCCAGCATATTTTTTCCTTTTAAACTAAATAAGGCCAAACTATTGATTTTATAGATTCTTTTTCTTCTTTCTAATATTAATTGGTTAAAAAAATACATTGCATTTCTGGAGCAACTAAACTGAAAGGTTATCATCAGAGTAGTGGAAAGGTTTGATTAGTCCTATGAAAAAGATTGTTAATTTGACTGTGATGATTTTAACTAACCCTGCTACTCTATTTTAAAAAAATTGTTTTAAAAATATTTTGCATTTTTAAGTATCCATTGATTCAAGGTTTAATTTCAACAGTCTATACATGTAAAAGATGAAAATTATTGGAATACACCTGTTTTACAAATGAAAAATCTTTTATTTATTGTTTATGTTAATACTATATTTTAGTAGTGTAAATTATAACAGCATATATTCCAGGATCTAACATAATTTTGGATGGTCTGCATATGCCAAATATCTGAGTCAATACTCATGAGATCATTATTATCAGTTTTGTTCATTCTGATAATGAAGACACCTACAAAAGAATGTGAGGATGCATATAAAACAGAAACTTCCTAAAGTTTCTTTGAGAGCCTTCTGTGAAATGCACCTCCAGGTATTTTGTCTGGGGAAAGAATTTTTGTGATGAAAGTACATTTGCTCCTTTTATTACTTGTGTCAGTACCATATCTCCTTTCTAATATTTTTGTTGAATGGATGTATGTTTTGATGTAACAGATATCGGCTCTGAATAAGAACTCTGATAACAGAGTTTGAATTCAAGTCGAGTTTGTTACATTCACTTATACCTTTCCCAAGGGTATTTGTGCATGAGTACATCTCCCCTCCTCAGCTATGGGTTCTATAACATTGTTTGGCAACCAGTCTACTGCAGAAAGAAACGGCAATCTAATGCAAGAAAATCTGCCTAGCCAGTCCTGATTTGAAAGAGATATGATCGGCCAAGTACTTGAGTAAATTTTCCAGGGAATTTGAATCTATGCCACTACAATACAGGAATGATTACTTTTTTTTTTTTTGCTGGCCATTTTTTTTCTCCAGTTCTTGGAAAATAATTATTACTAATTTTTTTTTTTTTTCATTTGGTCTAAATTTACTTACAAATTGTTAATGTTGTGGAGATTGCCTTAGGTTATCTGTTAATTATGTTGACAAAAGACAATATTGTATATATATTCTCTCTTCTGTATATCATGTAAATTGTAAACAAACTTAGTTTTGCATTTTAAATGTTTTTCAGTTGTATGTAATAGTATTTATGTCTACAATTATGTAGTGTCTTAATATTTAAATGGGAAAAATCATCCAAATGAAATAATTTTCATTTTTGCTTTTTAAATAAACAAACAAGATGGTTATTTTCCCCATTAAATTTTGATAAAGAATAAAGTGTACATTGCCCCCTACTAGTTTTAAAGAAAAATATGGATTTGATTAAATATACTGAAAGTTTTATTGGCTTTAATAAGATTGCTTTTATAGATATTTGAATATAGATTTAGGATTGAAAGGCTGCATTTGATGTTAAAACTAAATGACTAATTGCTGTTTCCCTGTCTAGTTCAGTGGCAACATAAGTGTTTGGTTTTTTTGTTTTTCTTAGGTTTTCAAAAGACAATCTATATTGTCTTAAAATTCTATGTATAGTACACTCTTATTTGGCACAAGTATCCCCCCACCCAAAGGAAACCCCCAAATCTTTAGCTGTCTTCCTCATAGCAGGTGGTTATGGTGTAACATTAGGAATTTTTCTTTCTCTTTGTTTCTTTCTGGAATGTGTACTCCTCAGCCTCCTGTTGACATCTTAAATGACAGATGGTAAAAGTCCCATGATTTTCATTAAAATTACAACTGATATATGAAATGGAAATGATACTTCTTGACCAATCATATCACAGGATATCAATGATGTATATTAGAAACCAAGCAAAGTAATCAGGAGTGATATTCTATTCTTGGCACAAAGACAATTTAGTCCAGTACCCTTTGATGCAACACTTGGCAAATTCAGCATTACTATTACTGAGAGAAGAAAAAAAAGCCTTTTAATTATAAAATCATATTTTTTAAAATCCTCTATCAATGTATTGTATAAATTTAATATTTAGTGAAGCTTAATTTTAGATGAATTTTTAGTTTTGTTGACAGCTGATTGTTAGCCAACTTCATGGCCTATACTTAATTTAAATCTGAATGATATACTGGATTAAGTATTCTGGTATAAATTCAAATCTCACAGGAAGTGAGTTTTTTTTTTTTTTTTTTTCATTACATTATTATCAAAGTGATTTTTGAAATTATAATGTGAAATATTTTGTGTTGGAAATGATTGTCAAGTAACTTGATTATTTTACTAAATTGTGATGAACATAAGAACGACATTATCTTCAGTATTCAACTTTTGAATAGACATGACATTCAAATAGAGTTGACTTGATAAGAGACTAGTGCTAACTCTTCCATTATAGCTATTTGGTTTTACCTGCTGCAAAAATCTTTTTCTCCATTTTACTTTCTTATTAGAACATCAACTAGTCTCTCATCACTGATGTACTTAAAAGATATGCCATTCAAGACCATATATTGTTTAAACCGAGAAAACGTGAGCATGATTTTAACTTGAGTTGTATTAAGGCAAATGATAATCAAGTTACTAAGCAGACAATAGTTTCTGATGACTAAGTGTATTAGCAAAATTTAAGAGGGACTTTTTATGCTGCTGAAAAATCCCATTAATTTGTCTTATTTCTCTATTTTGAGGTTAAGTTTTCTAATTTGTTTTTGTGTTGTTGGCTTGGCTTCAATGAGGTTTGAGCACTTGGGCTTTACTAGTATAATTACTTTTTGTAAAAATGGTCAATATTGGCACTGTTAGGTTTTTGCCTTCAAAACCTTGAACTTTGGAAAAGTGGCTTTTAATCTTATGGGATAAATATGGAATGTGTTTAACAATGTTTTTTTTTTTTAAATATTTTCTGCTATATTCTAATGTTCAATATTTGCAGTATGTTTCATGGAATGCTATTAAATCATAGAATTTTAAATAAAATCTATATTAAAAAAATATAACAATTTTGCATGAAATTATTGTAGATCTATTAATATCAAGATAGAATTTATAGTTTAAATTTCTCTGAATAATATAACATTTTCCCCCCCCCAATGTCAGCTGTTTGGCAAATTGTGGTATGACTACATTCCAGTGAAGTGGTCAGTTGTATAATTTTGGCTGTATCTGTTTACTTTACCATTTTTTTTGTTTCAGATATGGATTCCAACTTCTTATGAAAGGGACAAGAGTGAGAACTGCTGCCATCTGCTGGCCACCCCCTTACTCCACAACTGTACATAGAGGTTGACAGATGATGGCAGGTCCACACTTATACAGTTCTATTACAAAACACAATATGGCAGCCAGGACATTTGAATAGATTACTCAAACTTTATTGAGTCAATCTCAGAGTATCGCATTTCATTTGAATAAAAATCTTTTTAACAAAACTAAAAATATTGGTATCAAGAGAGAAACAATCAGAAAAAAAAAAAAAAAAAAAAAAAAAGGCATGTACCCCATATTATGAAAACAAGAGTAAGTTTTGCTTCTATTTATTTTCATAAAAAAAAAAAAAAGAAAAGGGGATTTATGTAAGTATGTATAGACATTTTCTTTTATACAAGCAGCTCTGGTATTTTGACTTGCTTTTCTGCTTTTCCAAAGTGATGTGTAGAATTCATTTTTCTTCACATTGAGATCTCTTTAATGTTTTTTTTTTTTTTATGTACAGGGTTTTAATAGCAAGTAAATGTATTAGTTGATTGAGATAAGAAGGCTTTTATTGTACATGCCCGCTGATTTAACCATTCACAGACAGCAGAGTGCTTGGTATTTAACTGTAGCATAGATGACTAAATTATTAAACTTTTTATATTCCCTTAAAAAAAAAAAAAAAAAAAAAGAATTCTCATAAATTTCTGATATAAATGAATGAGGTCAACTTTTAACAGATTCCAGTCTTAAGTTTATTTCCCTGAGATTGTGAATCTAGAGATTTACAGGGGGGGGGGGAAGGGTTGAGAGAAGAGACAAAAAATTAGAGATGTTGGGAACATATAAAATAGATTTCTATTTATAAACAGAAAATAAAAGGACATTTCCATTTTGTGACATGGGTTGGAAAAAATGGTGCAAGATTTCATCCAAGTTTAACCAGAGACCACTAAGAATTACAAAGTTTAAATGCCATGTTTCTTTGTCTTTAATTCCATACTCTCTCTTTAGATTGAAACACTAACCATTTAATTACAACTTGACTTATCTTCATGGTGTGAAATTTGTCAGCGGCTGGCTATTAGTTGTTGCAGCAGAAAGTATAGTAGCAGCCGAGTGACAATAATTGTTTTCGCACACACACACACACACACACACAGAGGCATGCACACACACACACAAATATATTACACAATATGTGTTTACTGTGATGAGATTCTATCAAATGTTTTAGTGGTCATAGAAAATGGGAGTTGCCATGACCAAATCGAGTGTTGAGTGCATGAGATTTGTCAATTATGGATTTTCTCTGGGCTGAATTTAGATTCACAATGCCTAGGTCTACATCTCTGTCAAATGGACGACGTTCTTTAGGACCAGCAGCAGCTTCTTGTTCCTGAAAAATGAGAAATAAATGTTTTGATAATGAAGTTATGATTTAATAATAAAAAGAATTTCAGGTTAAGTGTCAGTAAGTTTATGCAATAAATTCAAATAACTTCCTGTCTACTGTTGTAGTTCTTATAAATGAACTATTAGAATCATTCTTTAAAAAAAATCAAAGATTGTTTATCAATATTGTATCGAGTGAATATAATTAAAGGACTAAAATTTAAGCTGATGAGTAAATGCAGGATATTAGGCTCCCATAGTAAAGACTGGTACTCTGTTACATTTAAGTTTTCTTTTTAGCAGTTTGATATTAATTTTTTTTTTTTTTTTTTTTTTTAGACTTATTTAAAAAACTTTCATACCCTTTCAAAGTAACAACAGTATTAGGACTTGTGTTGATGGGCTAATATTCTTTGTTACCTTATTGCTTCAGGCTTTCAAAATAGCTTCATAAATACAATGAAACTGAAATCATGATTATCAAATTTAAATTTGCTAATAATTTTTTTTTTTTTTTAAATAGATTAAAAATGATATAGATATTCTTTTAAAACTTACCTTGGCTATTTTTCTTTGTTTAACGTGCATATCAAGAAGAGACTCTGACCGTTTGTTTTTCTATATGAAAAAAAAAAAAAAAAAAATAATCATTAAACAGTAATTTTACATTTGGTTAAAAAACATTTTTTTACTCATTCAAATCTCATAGCATCTTTTTCTTTACAAGTCCCCATTATGTGCTCTAAAATTTTTAATTCTTTCTGATTCTAAGAATATGTGTTCTTTTTGTTTCCATTTTTCTTTAAAACTTTGTTACTCACTGAGAATACCATGGACTGAACAGGTGTCTTTCTGCAAAACCAAGTTTCTGTTTTCTCTAATTGTTTCTTCATCTGTGAGAAGACTATCTAGCATTCAATTCCATAGAGAAGGACTGATAATCGGTTCAGTAATCTTTTTCTTTGTTTCTTATGAAATTTTCCCTGTTAATACCTTGCTTAGTTTTTGAAAGGTTTCTTTTGCTTTATTGTCTTCAGATTTTGGTGTCACATTTTCTGTCCTCTGTTAAAACACTTCCTAGATATTTAAAACTTCTCAACTTGGACTGTTCCTTTTGCTGACAATTATACGTCTTACAATTGATATTTCATCCTTTCTACTCACTTTCCTTTACTACATTCTGTAGGAGTTCCTTTCTTTGGTATCTGCATATCTTATGTTGTTAAGATTGTGGGCATCTATAATGAATCTTGGTAGTAGTTCTAATTCTCTTAGAATCATCTCACTAGGAAGGTTGAATGTCTGGTGAGAAGATACTTTCCATTTTGTGTATTTACTAAATTCATTTAGTTTTGTTTTTACATAGAAATACACTAGTAGGGACACTACAGAAGCAATAGCCTGTGAGATAAGCTTACTAATTGTTGTTAGTAATTGTTGCAAACACTTTGGAGTAGATATATTTGCCTATCATCCAGTTCCTACTCCTCCCTTGTCTTTTGAACAGGAATAGAGATTTATTCCTTGTTTCCTGTTTAAAAAGAACCAGAATCCCAATCCTAAAGTCTTCTAGCTCCTTGGGTCATATTGGTATTATCATCTTGCTTGGTGTGAATCGATTTAAAAAAAAAAAAAAAAAAGCAGCAGCAATTATTTCAACTGAAATACCAATACTAGATTTTAAGTCCACAATATTTGCATAACTGAATTAATTTCCTAAATGTTTTTTTTGTACTAAATTATCTGTCATTTGACAGAGGCATAATCCAGCTGTATTATCAAAATCTATGGGGGTGAAGTACCTGCTTGTACCAAATACAAGTGCTTTCTGTAATGGGAATTTTTAAACCTATAAATTTGGTAAATCAAATAAACAATCCACTAGGAATTTTTATAGAGGTTAAATACAATAGCAAAAAATTATTTGAAAAAATAAGCGTGCTATATCAAATAAGCATTGTGTGTAGTAGAACATACAAGCTAGGACAGGGAAAAGCAGAGAACGTACATTAAATTCTGCAATACGTTCAGCACAGAATTGGTCTTTTGCAGAGATGGTTTCCTCTTTAGATTCATGACTTCTCTTGGAAGCACGTCCTTCAGCTTGGTCCTGAAACAGATAACAGCAGATCTATAAATATGTCATTATATATATATGTTTTTGGTGGATGTAACAATCGAGGGGGAAGTGTGCAAAACAAAAAAAAAAAAAAAAATTATGAGACAGACATGAGTTATAGGCAACATTAGTTGAATATCTGTTTTATGAATTTAACTATCTTTCATTTAAATAAATTTAAAAGAAGAAAAAAGGTTCGTTATAGTTTTTGCTTTAATAAAACTTAAAGTAAAATTATTTACTTTTTTCATGTTAGTAGCAAACTAAAAAACAGTGAAGTTCATTTTTTTAAAGATTGAATAAAAAATGATTTTTCTTTATCATAGTTTCAGAGTAGGGCCTGGACTAATTCAAGATATTTTGTTTGAAATTTGTTTTTGTAAAGTAAACTAAAAAAGAATAGATATTAAGTTTCATTTTTATAATCTGCAATAATGAATGAATAATAAGTTAAAATAATTACATAAAAAAATACAGAAATAAATTAAAGAAAATAGAAAATTTAAAAATACATATAGTATTTTGAAATTATCAGCAGAATTAAAAAGTAAAGTAAAAATGAATAATAATTATTCCCATTTGTTTTACTTTTTAATTCTGAGAATTTCAAAACGTTTATTTGGCTAAAAATAAAAAATACATTCTCACACAATTATTACATATTAATTTTAAAATATCAAATACAAATCATAATTTTTTTTTGTGAAAAAGTGGGTTGGATGATACTGAGTCTGTACATAAATTTATTTTGTTAATTTATGAAAATAGGTAATAGCTCGAGAAAAAAGAAAAAAAAAAAAAAAAAAAAAATTGATGATACATTGCTTTTAGGAGGCCAACAAATAAGCAAAACTCTGAACTATGTCAAGGCATTAATCAGAACCTAAAGTTTACACCAAAAGATTGTGCTTTGGGAACTTTTGCAGTAATCATAATTTTGATTGTAATTTTTCAATTATTAACATTAACAAACTATTTTAAATTACAAAATTGTAGTTTGATTAAATGAAAACTACTTATAATACATTCCTTCTTGTCAATTTTGACAGCATGGGCAACTAGTATAATAATAATAAAAAAGTCAACTGCAGCAAAAACATAACATGACAGAAGAAAAGCAACTTAAAGACCAAGTGAATATTCATTTTCCTTACCTTAAGCTTTTTTGCTTTATCAGCAGGAGTGTCTGTCCACACTGATCGATCTCCAGTGCTTGTAGATCTGTTACCTTTGAACTGCCGTGCAGTAAGACCAAGTCCAGGCCCGAGCTCAGGAGGTAGTTCAGTCATCCAAGTCTCTCTGCTTACAACCTCAACTTCATCAAGCTGAAACATAATAAAACTAAGTAAACAAATTTACCCCATCAAAATTTGACTTATGTATTACACTTTGTGCAAGTCCAATAAGAGAATATTTATATAAAAAAAAAAAAAAAAAAAAAAATTAGCTTGTGTACACTAGCCTACTAGGTAACTGAACTACAAAGTAAGTACTTGTATCTGTTTAACAGGTGTAAATAATGTCACATACAAGAGATTAAAAAAAAAAAAATTTTGATTGATGGAAGGTTGGACGAACCAAGACCTTTTTCTGCACATATACCAGGACATCTATTGGGTAGTCAAAAAAAAAAAAAAAACCAAAAAACTTTACATTAGAAAATATATATATATATATATATATATATAGATGTGTGTGTGTGTGTGTTTTTGATAACTTATGTATTAGCATGTATTATAAAAACAAAAAAACTTTGCTGTTCAGTTTACAGATGAAGCATTTTACAAGCATATGAAATTATTTTCTGCTTAAATTTGTACTGAATATTTCAGAATTACTCTATTATAAGAGTCCTGAACAAGAAGAGACATTCAAGTCATAGCTATTTCACTCCATTGAAATTGGGACAAGCAAAAAAATACTGAACCAAGCAAGTCTCAATGTATTAAAAAGGTAATAAATCCCCTCTAAAATTATATAATTTTTAAACAAAGCAAATAATGGATTATATAAAAATATATTGCATATGACCAAAAATTTGTCTTTATCACTGAGGTGAGGCATTATGATTATTTATATTATTCAGACTCAGTTTTATTTAAACATTTTGGTTAAATCACCTTGAATAATTTTACACAGAAATGTTTACTAATTTTCATGTTCAGAGTAAATTTTATCAGACTAATGTGCTCTATGTATGCATTAATTTTCTATATAAACAATATTAGTGTATTCATACTATTCACAATCAAAAATATTTTAAAGTCTTTATTTAAAAAAAAAAAAAAAAAAAAAAAAAAAAAAAAAATCATTTACAATTACCTGCCTTGTGACTAAATCTTGTTTATCATTTTTAAAATTTAGTTTATGATATGCATTAATGATCAAATTTTTTTAACCAAAAATTGTTAGAGAAAAAAAACTTTAAAGATTTTCTTGCTTTGTTTATTAAAGCAAAATTATTTCTTACAATTAGACCCCAATGCTTTTCACATTTAGAGATCTAATACAAATATCTAAATTTAAGCTCTTAAGCATTCATTTTTCACTTGGGTTTGATTCACCTGTTGAAAAAAAGAAGCACTTAAATTTGTTTGTGTGTGTGTGTGTGTGTGTGTGTGTGTGTCCATTTATTAAAAACCTGTCACCATTGGTCAGAAGATTTTTTTTCTATTTTTAATAAATAGTTGCTTATAGAATAAATATAAAATAACTAGTTCCCGAGACAACATTAATTTTGATCGTTGAGACACACCCATCTTTAAAATTATTTAGTTGGTGTAAAGTTTCTCAATCAGGATACTAAATAAAGAATAACAACAAAATGGTCAATGTATGACAACACCTTTAAAAATATTTTGTCAAAACTGCAAACAATTTAGTTATTTTATAAATTGAGTACAGTGGGCTTATTTCTGCTAATTTAGAAGCATAGCATTATGATTGGAGATGATGTACGTGCATATTTGTTTCATCATGAGAAAAACTGAATTTGTAACATGAAACAGTAAGAATGAAATAATGACATTTGTATAGAGAGAAAAAGTTTCAGGTAAGAAAAAAAAATTGCTTTGAATTTAGTATTACATTAGATATATCTTTTTTTAAATTATGACACAAACAAAAGAAAAAAAAGGCCTTGAATTTCTTGCAAGCTATTTTCTACTTTATATAGTTATTGAAAGAATTGTCATCTTAAGTAAAGTAAATTTAGGAAAAGGATGTCGGGCAAGAGGAGAGCGAAGTTTTTTTTTTTGACTTTGGAGAAATTATGACCCCCCCTGAGAATTATAGGCATCTCTCCTCACATATTTCACTTAATCATTCAGTATTTTGCAAAAGCTTGAAAACTACCAAAAACTCCAGAGAAAAAGACCCCCCCATTTTAAAAATGTATTCTTTTATGCATAAAATCTTATAAGAAATAGGTATAAATTTCGCAAATACTTTTACAAGTACTTGTTTTTGATTATAGTCTTGGTTCTGGAAAGCACTGATGCAGCACAGATCATTGTCTAAATTGTCTTCATTACTTTTTTTTTTTAAATGATTGTCATTACTGTAATCTTTTTCATAATATCCCAAAGACTCTCTCTCAGACTGAGGTTATGTGAGTTGGGCAGCCATTCCAAGAGCTCAATGTCATGACCCTGAAATGTTTAAAAGGAAAAAAGCATGTGCAGTGGACCATCATTCTGCATAAATGGTACCATCCAGTATCATCAGGTGGGGGTTTTTTCAAACTTTTGCAAATCAATAAATCTGATTTCTGTAGTTGTTTGAACTTGTGAAATTAAGAAATCTCCAACTTAAGAGTTATTTAATAATACAAAACTATAAAAACCTTCATGTGATCCCTTTCAAGGTTGGATAGTTAAAGAAAAAAAAAAAGCATTACCTTTCCTTCAAGTTTATCCTTCATATTAGCAGCTCGTTTTTCAATTTCTTCAGCCAATGAATTATCTGCCATACCCTTTTTGAACATTTCTGAAGGCAAAGGACCAATGACATCCTCTTCAACTTCAGTTGCTGAACTGGGGGGTAGCTCAAGATTCATGGCATGACATTTTTCAGCTGAAGAACTGGATTTGAAACCAGGAGGTAATGCTGGTCCAAAAATACCAGATGATGTTGCTGCACTTGGAGGTAGGCAGGGGCCAATGGGGAGTAATCTGTTAGTGTCACATCCATTTTCTTCATCATCTTCAAACTCTTCATGTCTTGAATTAAAACCAGGAGGCAAAGCAGGGCCAATAATATCACACACTGAATTGCTGGTTGGCTCACTTGAACCAACTGTTGAAGAAGTGTCCTCACTTTGAACAGAACTTTTGCTAATCCTGTTTGCAAATAGATCCTTTGGATCTGAATTTGTTTCTGTTACACAGGTTGATGAACTAGCTGAACTGTCATCATTTGACTGGCTCTGGCCAAAACCCGGAGGCAGACAGGGGCCGATCAATTCACATCCTTTCACTGGAGAGGTTGAAGAACTTACTTCACCAACAGACTCTGGACAACCTCGGCCATTAATCCGCCAAGTAGGTATAGCAGGTCCATAGACAGTGTTTTCTTCTTCTGAGGGTGAGGACACGGTCATTTCTTGATGGTCACTCCTGGTGGTAGTAATACAGCATCTTGGTTGACCAGTGCTGCTCACTTCAGAATGAGTGTCTGCTCGGTGTCTGACCACAGTTGGTGAAGGTCTAACCTCTGATGTTACATGGTGGTCAGCTTCTCTACTGTGAAAAGAGACATGGCAAGTTTCCCGGAAAACATCACTTGAAGCATTCACTCCAGAAGAACTCACAACATCATCATCGTCGTCATCTCTGTTTGATCTTTGTCTGAAACCTGACAAAAATAAACAAAGAAAATTAAACCAAAGTGGATCAGAAATGATTTATGCACACACACACACACATATATATATATATATATATATATATATATATATATATATACACACTTCTAAGATGCCTTAAATGATTTCAATTAAACCGAAAAATCATAAATTGCTTGATTTTCAGAAAAAAAAAATCTTAGAGAATGAAAAATCATGCAGGAGAAAACTCATTTTTGCTTTTACAGCAGATCAGGATTTCAAGATATTGTTTTCACAATAAAGTTGGTATTAACTAACAAATATTGGTAAAATTTTCAGCACATTCTTACGTTTATATGATAAACATATATGAATTTCAGCTATTCAATTTTAAATGCTATATTCCTTCAAGATGCAGGCAGTCATGGCTTTCACCAGTTTCTGGCTCTTTAATAACTGGGTGGTTTATCATTGTCTTCCCCATGGTTGTGAATTCACAAACTCCCTTCTATATGATGCCTTACCAATACTAAAGAGAGAAGTTCCTGTTTTTCTTAAGGGCATTAGTGTGAAGTGAACATAACAGCCTTTGGCATTCATCATATTGGAAATAAATATATATAACTGTATATTTACTGATATTTTTAATAGATGGTAATTAATGTTGTACTGCATGGATTTTGCAGACATTTTACCATAAATTTGCAATAAATCAGGCTTTGTGTGTGGTCGAAGCTTGTTAGGATTGTATTAACAAAACCATTCAGAAAAAAAAAAAGACAAAATTTAAAGTTTTTTTCACCAAACCTGGGATCTAAGGCTGGATTTCCATTTTTTGACACCAAAATCTAAAAATTGGAACGAGTAAAAATATTGTTTGGAAGGAGGTTGAGGGCACATTTGATTCATATTAGTGAGGCCATTCTGAAAGTGACAACATGTTGAAATTTTTTCCTAAAATTTGAGTTTTCTGCTGAATTTTTATAATTAGGCATTGCCACTCTTGCCCCCACAAAAAACTGGCAGAATTTTAGATAAAATAATGATGTGGGGTGATTGTACAGCACATTTGAATTGTATTGGTAAAAAAAAGAAAAAAAGAAAAAAGAAAAGAAAAAATTTTTTTGAATTTTCAGAAAATATGTGGTTGAATTTCTATATTTGGGCATATTTGGTTGATGAGAACCAATAGGACAACTTAGAAAAATTATGAATTTCTCAATCATCAATCTGTGACAGAAAATGAATGAATTAGTAAGTTTCACAAATAAAGCAAACAGATAAAGCAAAAGGATGAGGTATTGTAATTATTTACGCTATTTACATTGTTTGGACTGTTGACCTCATCTTCATTGCCATATTTATGGTTCAGCCATTGTACGCTCCTCAAGTACACATGCCCCAGTGGATAAAAGCGTTGGTTAAATCCAGTGACTTGACCCCAAAAAAGTTGTGAGTAATACCTAACTACAGAGGTGAACAAAACCTTGGAGTTAAAGGGAGATAACTAAGACATCCAGAAAAGGCATGACATCTGGAACTAAAACAATTTAACCCCAGTGGATGAAATAAAAAGGTACCAGTTCGAAATTCCAATCACTTGAAGAATTCTGGAGTGTACAACAACCGAAACATTGTGAATATGGCAATGAAAATGAGAACAACAGTTTGAACAATGTAAATAGTGTAAATAACGCAAAAGGAACTTGCTAATTTATACAGAAATGCTGAAAAATGGATGGTAATTAATTAATACTTGAATTAACTTGTTGCATTCAATCATTTGAAATTATACACAATATGACATGGGTTCAATACAAATTCATAAGACAGAGACTTTTCAGTTGTCTGAACTTAGGAACAAAGCAGAATGTGTAAACTCAAGGCAAAATATTGAAACAGACAGTTTCAAGTAACTGAGACAATAGCATGAAACTACTTGAAGAGTGTTGTATATAATCTATACTGTGTGTGTGTGTGTGTGTTCTGTAGGTACCGCCACTAATTCATGATACCTAAAGTTGATTAATGAATTTTTAAAAATTAAAAAGCTTTCATTGAAAGATAAAGGATTAAATTTACTATTTTGAGTAAGCAAAATACTGTGGTGTATTTCAAACTGAAATTGTTTATTTCAGTAAAAAAAAAAAAAAAAAAAAAAAAAATAAATTTTTTAAAATTGCACATTTGTAAAGAAGCGTTGTCAAATTTTTGCAAAAATAAAATATATACATTTCTGAAATGTTATTTGAGGAAAATTAACAAATTTGAAGTTAAATTAATCTGATTTGAAACATTACTTATAGTATAAAATGTTGTATACAAGCATTTTTTAAGCTAAAGGTTTTTATTTTTATCAATGTGCTGATTGATTTATTGACAGCTGAATGTGTTGGTGGAGCAGAATTGCATGCAGCCAATAAAGTCTACATGAGGTTTGTTTTTTCCATAAGGATTCAGGACAATTCTTAAATCATGTAATCTTTTAATGATAATGTTATGTATGAATTAGCATACAAAAATTAGAAAGTTTATACATACACACACAAAAAAAAATTATTTTAAAAATCTTAGCACATGATGATTTGTATTAAGCTTTGCAATTTTTGATTAGTAAATAGTCTTCACTTAATAACAACATCACCTAACATGAACAAAGTTTTGAAGAATTTTTAAAACATTTTTGTAACTTTATAATTAAGAAAAAAAAGAAAAGAATCATTTACATTCTCCAAGGAGTCCTGCTTTTACCTAATAAAAAAAAAAAAAAAAAAAAAAAAAAATTAAATTTAATTTCTTGAAATTTCATGAAGTAAGGTAACAGATGTAAAAAGAAAAAATATTTTTAACAAGATTTTCTAAAAATAATAATTTCATTCATTTGTGAATAAGTCCTGAAAATTTTATTAAGATCTGACAATTATTTGATTTTTTTTGCAAGAATTCCCAAATCAACGTTATTTTCCTGGAAAAAGACGAAAAAGAAAAAGATTTTTAACCAAAACTTTGAACGTGTTAGAAAGGATTAAAAAATTTAATAAAAATCATAAAAAATACTTTGGTCTTTCCTTTTTATAACAAACATTTCAATGATAAAACTTTGCTTTTAAGTTCAGGGCCTTTTTTTTCATTATGCTATGCTTTTTCAGCAAATTAGTGGAGGTACCTAATGGTTTGTCTGAGGAATTTTTTCCAATTTTCTATTGAAGTTAAAAATTATTGTTGTTTTGGAGGTAAAAATAGTGTCTTTTTTGCAGATGTTTTGAGAAAATTGTTAAGAAAAAAAAGTTTACTTTCCGAGTGATTTTTGCCATTTTAAGAGATTGAGGAATTAAAACAGAATAAATGTGAAATTTTCAGGGAGTCTGAGTTGATTGTCCCATTTAAGAAATTTATTGCTCATTTAGACTTATACTGAGAAAAGCATTAAAAAATTTAGGCAATGAATTAAAAAAGAAGCTGGGTAACGATATGAACAAAATTAAAATAAAAAGCCCTTGAAAGACAATTTTCAAGGTTTAGAAATATCCCTATCTGCTTAAAAAAAAGTAACAACAACTTCAAAAATTATTAATATATGGACCTATTTCTCTGTAGGATTGTAAGTAGGATAACTTCAAAAGAGAAAAAAGATATCAAAAATACTGAGTGATGGAATCATAACATTGAAAATTGGGTAAAACACATTAGAGAGCAATCAAAACAGAAATTGAAACCACCAGAGAGGAAAAAAAAATTAATAGGGAATATTTTTTTTTAATATAAACAGAATAGATACAAAATATTAACTTTGGATAAACATCACAAAGAGAAATGTGTTAGTTGAGCAAAGAGGTACATGAAAACTGATTTCTCACCAGTAATTTTAAGTGATAAATGTAAAGCTACATTGGATAGACTTGATGACAAAGTTAAAAGTTGAATCCTTGATTAAAATTATCAATAAACAAGACTTAGAAGACAGGTGATGGTGTTGGGGGTTAGGAGAGTAACATTTAAGCCTAGTATTTTTGCCTGTGAAATTATAGGAGTCTTCAAAGCTGATGATGTCAAGATAAATACAGAGAATTATTGTAAGCTCTTGCACAAGACATTTTTTGAGTTGCACAGATAAGACACTGCTTACTTTACATTCTGCAAAGCTTGCCAAAAGAAAGTTTTCAAAGACCAAATTAATAGAATATCACTGGGTCTCACCAGATATTTATCCAATCAAAAACTTTTAGTTCCATCATTAAGAGATCTATTTATGAGAATGAAAAGAAATAGAAGAATACAATCATTGGTAAGCAATAAAAACTGTTGCAAGTATTTTTAAAAGATGAAAGAATAGAAGAGAAGGAAAAAAAAAAATCAAAAAAATCAGTATGTTAAATATATATATATATATATATATATATACACAAAAATGTCATTTGTTGTGGAATAGTACTGTTTTGGTAGGGTCTCTTGGGAGAACAAATATGATGTTGCAAGATCCAAAACTTGTCATGACCCTAAGTCATAACATTACTGACAAGTCGATCCTGCACACTCAAGAGTGTTTTCATAACAAATCAAGGAGCCCTTATTAACATTTCAAATGATTTATTCATGTATACGAGACATATAATGCATGTTTATATGACCAAGATCATTTGAATTTACAAGATAAATAAATGTCTGTTAAACTGTAATATCTGACGTTTCACAAACAAATTATAAAATATTTTTTTTAATAAGAATATAAGCTGAAACTCACAATATATTGCTTATATAAATATATTCTGAAAAGACCTACCAACCTCAATTAGTTCACTTTGATTTTATTGAAAGCATTAACTTGATTAATAAAATCTGACAATATAGTATTAAAATGTACCAAATTCTGGAATCTCTGTGCCCAAACATGCATTCTTACTTAATAAATATCATTTTGTTATTGTTTTGTAAAAGAATATAGACCTACAAATAAATAGAAATATTGCCATCAGCCAAACATATGAATTACTTAGATTTAGGTTTTTAAAGTATCTCTCAGATATTGGTT